TTGTGCCTCGGGTCAGACCCAGCAATTGGTCTTGATGTTAAGCTTCCAGCTCCTGGCTTTATCTTATTAGTATTTAACAAAGTAGGCAATCTTCTCATCTAACTCTCTGGCAGCATGCAAGGATATCTGCAAGGATATCTGTAAGGACAAGAAAGACATAGAGCAACGTTACATATCTCTCAGTTTCCCAATCCAGTCTAATTCTTGAGAATTTCCATTTTTGACCCCTCGCCAGCATCAGCCAGAGTCTCCTTGTCACCTGAACACTGGAGACTTACAACAAAGGGCAATAAATGGTTTTGCTGGTCCAGGTCATTACTTTGAAAAGGGGACTTCCATCCCTAAGGGATGTAATGGATTTTAATTCCAACTCAACCAGCGTGACCTGTGTTTGACATATCTGTAATAGCTCAGCATTGGCCCCAGCCAGGTTACACCGGCCGCCCTCCTGCACTGGATGGAGTATTGATCCATCGCAACCACTCATTACGTTCAAGCTGCCTCCACTAATATCAGAGTCATGGCGGCTTTGCCATAGCCTGCTGAAAACTGACCACGGCCCTGCAGTTGTCAGGGAAACACGCTCTGTTTGGGTCTTGAGGAGCAAAGGACGAGCTGCTCTTTTTCCACGCTGTGGTAAGGCGACCGACTGGAGGACACAGACAGTGGCACCACACTTCACAGTCACGCTCCCGCAAGCACATTCTCACATCCCGGCGAGCACACACAAATAAACATGCCCACACATGCCGTTTGCATTCATTTGGTTACCGCGTATCAGTGCACTGCCTTTTCTTTACTGCTCTGTTTTGGCCTGGGCCTCGTGTTTGGGGTTTGGAGAAGTAGTATTGCTGCTTCTGTGCCGGCTCCTCCTCCACATTTAAAAACAGGACTTGGACGACAAAGAGATACGAGATGAAAACACAAGCTGCTATTTTTAGCCCCGCGGGATGTGAGGCTGCAACCACAAGCCACCGTGCTCGCCTTGCGTCGTCAGCTGCCTCAGTTATCATGAGCTGTGATGACAGCGAACATCTCTGGTTTGTTCGGGAAACACAACAAATCTTGGACTGGAGCTGTACTGGACACTTTAGGATAGACTCCAGGAAGAAAATGAATTGATGGAAGAAATTAGAAATCATAAAGGAAAAAAAACCACTCTTGCTGAAAACACTGTGAAAGACCAGAGAAAACTGCACTTTACACCAGTTTTCACAACACATCGTCCCACTTACGCTTTTTACTTTTGATGGCAGTGATCTTATTGCCATCTCTGCGCCTGATTGGCTTCATTATCTTCCTGCTGATCTGTGAGGCTGTTTCTGCTCCTTGACACAAACACCCCCTCCAAAATGAATAGAGGCAAAGCGTCCCTCACTGCGTTTTATCATTACAAGTTAGGCTGATCCTCGCCTGTTCCCTCAGCCTCACCTGTCACAAATTATCAGTTCATCTTCATTGTACAGATTAGCTGTACAGCATGTTTAATTTGGATGCAAATTCCCCCCCCCCCTAAACCTTGACAGCAGTGTAATTAATTTTTTTTTCTATTCACGTTTCTATTTAAGGTTACACAAGCTGTGTAAGTGCTGGAAAAAGTGTAGAGTAAACACCACATGGGAAAAATGACTTAACGCTGTACAAAATACTGTAGCAAATCCATCAACATTGCACTGCTCCACTACGGGGTCACATTAGATTGCATGCTAATTATAAGCATGCAAATTAAAATGGGGCCTGACAATCAGCACTTTGATATGTGAGCTTTCAAAGCAATATGGGCACAACAAGCACGGCTCCAAAGCAGCCAAATCATCACCAGAGCCCCGAGGTTCAGGTGCGTCAGTCAAAAAGCATCAAATACATCAGAGCGGAATTTCACTGAAAATCATTGCAGCATAACATAATAAACAGCTTCAGGAGAGGCAGTGATCACATGGGGAAATTGATTTGTATGTAAATTCTTTTAAAAATGTGTTCACAGGGATTTAAAAAAAACTGTTTTAAAAAAGAGCTCAGGAGGAGCAAATGGAACAGCAGCCACTGTGTGAAGTAAATCCACACTGAGTCTGTGGAAATGTTCCAAGGTTAAATCAGTGATCTTAACAACATAATATAAACTCACTGGCCATTTCATTAGGTATACCTTTTCAAGCGCTCTCAAATCTCTATCGGCCAATCACATGGAAGTGTGTCTATGTATGAAAACATGTTCAAACCGAGCGTCGGATGGGGAAGAAAGCTGATTGAAGTGACTTTGAACGTGGCATGGTTGTTGCTGTCAGGGTAGTCTGGGTATGTCAGAAAATGCGGATCTACTGGGATCTCTGGGGTTTACAGAGAATGGTCAAAAAAGAGAAACTACCCAATAAGCTGCAGGTCTCTGGGTGAAAATCTCTTGTCGATGCCAGAGGTCAGAGCAGGTCAGATGCAGGGAAGAGTGAAAAGTGGGTTAGAAAAGTAAACTGTGTAGTAAAAGATCCAGAGGACTGAATGACAGTAAAGGTTGCACGATCTGTTATCGTCGTGTTGGTGTTGTTCCCAGATCAACATAGTAAATGTTGTTCCAGGATCAACATTGCAAGTGACCAATCAGAATGTTGTGGCGTCATACTTTTGCGACTTCGGGGAAAACCGGCGTAAAACAAAAAACTGTACTTAAGCTGCGAGAAACCGCCTCTGTCCGCTGATCAACGGACCCTGACCCTAACCCTTTAATAAACGCTAAGCAGAATTGATATTGTCCTTGCAACATTGGAATTTCATAAATGCACGAATGGCTTGGCGCGCCAAAGAATAACGTCACAACAATGTGATTGGTCACTTGCAACGACACCAACACGACGATATCAGAGCATCCGTAAAGGTTTGACTTTTGCCACATTTCTGAGGTGAAGGAAACAAGGTTGGATGAGCTTAGAGTTTTAAAATTCAGTTGTTGTTCAAAGATGACACCAATAATCCAAATAGCCGGAAGCTGATATCACTGCACTACCTGATGACACTTTTGAGCTTTGGGAAATATGCCGGTACTTTCCAAGCACGAGACAAGTCCAACTTCCTGAAAATCTTTGCTGGTGAATGTGCCAAAACTGATTTCTGATGTTTATATTCATTTTTCCAAATGTATATCTTTGCTTATATTGGTAAATAGACTTTAGTCAACAGAATTTATTAAAGGATTATATATAAAATTATCTTTATGACATTATTTTACCAACTTCATATCACTCTTTAAAAGTTATATATTTTTAACATCAATGACACTTTTTATCTGGATAAATAAAGGATATATAAAACTCACTTTCTACCTTGTGACAGGAACGTTATTTGTGGCTCAGAATGATTTGATGACATTGGTTTGACATGTGCTTCACAGATTATAGGCCGACAAGTCATTTACAACAGCTTAAATGTGGGTGACCATCTTTTGGCACAACACCAGAAACTTCAAAGTGATCACAAGAAAAGAGGTCTGGGGCCACACAAGCCCCTTTTAAGATCACAACCTGTGCCGCTTTTCATTTCATTTAAAGGAATATAATAAACCTGAATGTAATGTGTTGACCGGTGAGCTCCAAATGTGGCAGAAAACAGATTTGGGTTTTTATACAGAGCCCAGCTTTCCACGCTTCCAGCATTCATGTTAAGCCAAGCTAAGCAGTTTCTAGTTCCAGCTTCATAGTCATTATTAGTCATTCTCATCCCCAGCTACTAAACTGTATTTCCCCAGATGTTAGACTATACATTTGAAAGATCCTCATCACACCGTTGTCTAAAGTGCAATGCCGTTTGTGCATTACAGCAGTCTGCATCTAATAAGAACAACCCTGTTTATTGCAAAGTTAATTTCCAATGTTTGTCTGTTAAATTATATTAAATTGGATTGAATTATGTTTCACTGAGCTGAACTGAGGCGGTCTCACAGAGTCTAGGCCCTTCATTAGCAGTGTGTGGGAACACCAGAGGTTATGTCTGCTCATCCCTTGATCCGCTGTTGCCTTTTTCATCTTTTCAACATTCTCCCAGGCCTGCGTTTGTGTTCTCATTTCCTTCCCTCAGTATATCTTTTTCCCCCAGCCCCTGAACTTCCTCTATTTGCCTCTCCCTCTTTTATCAGATCAAATGTTTATACATTAATTTCATGCTGTTACAGGCAGCAGGTCGGCAGTGGTGAGCCCAGTGATACACATTTGGATAGAAGGATGGTTCCTCACGTTTCTATTAAAACTAATGGCCCTCAGTAAGGTGCAAATAGACCCATGTGCACTGTGTGCTTTGATTACATTTTGAATTATGCTTTGAAAACCATTAGCATGAACAAAATGTTGCTTTTTTGCCACATCAGAGCACCTCGTTCCCTTTTTTCCTCTCCTGACAGAAGGTTGTGCGTTTTCTTTTCCCCAGCCTCCGTCTTTGTCCTTGAACAGCGTGCAGTGTTTTACTGCGGGGTCATCGTGTTTTATGACTTTGTTCAAAGCTGTAAGATTCCCAGAACCATGTCTGCTCGAGGAATTCATACACTGCACTTTGTAACTGCAAAGGGAAGCAAACTGTTACAGAGCAAAGTTCTGTTACATAAAGAGTGAAAAAAAATTAACCGAGGCTGATGGGATTATCGTTAGTCTTTTAATCTGTCATGAATCAAAGTATTGGATTGAAATTTCTCTTTGATGATGACGCTGGTGGCAAAGTCATCAGTTTGTCCTGAAGGGGAAATTAATGTCCGCACCCAATTTCACAAGAACGTATTCATGAGCCGATGAGCCATTTCACTCAGAACCACAAATAACCTCATCGTGGCATTTGAGGAAATGTCAGACTTTGACAAAGCCATTAGGACACACTGCCTGGGAACCTTACACATCTGCAAAGTCTTCCATCTAATACGTCAGCATACCCGAGAGACCATGTCAGTTCTTAAGCTTGACTAAAACGGGTCTTGGACGTACTCATATGTTTGCATATTTATGTGTTTCTCTACATATCTGTCCTTTCAGGAATGGCTGGATTTGCGCTGCAGAGGTGTTCGTAATGCCAACGCATACATCCTGGTGTATGACATCTGCTGCGTGGAGAGCTTTGAATACGTCAAAATGATCCGACAGCAGATAGTAGAGAACAGGTATGGTCACAAACACTCTCTGCTGAAAACGCAGATGTTCAACATACGGTCCAAAAGCTTCAAACCAGGACTGTCAAACTCATTGGACATCATGCATCACATACATACAGCCTGCTTTGATCTTAAGTGGGCCAGACCAGTGAAACTACATGATAAATGTATGAAATTACAGAAAAATGTTTAGTGGTAGTTAATTTACCAGACACTCCTTCGATTTTTTATTTTATTTTAAAATATTAAAGTTTTGTTAAAGTTTTGTGTTATTTTAAAATATTAAGCTTTTGTAAAATTACAAAACAGAGATTTTCCTGTAAATTAAGCATTTATCTATTGGGGGGGGAGGAGGGGGGGATTTTTTTCCATTGGAAATTCTTCGTCCTGGGCCTTGTGTTTGACACCCGTGCTTTAAACCCTATATTTAATTGAAAACTGAACCACAATGACGCTGTCAAGACTCACAGGCATTACTGTTTTCTAATTAAAAAAAAAAAAAAATCTAGGACAGGGACAACAAAAGACCAGAAATATTACGTAATGCTGAAAAAAAAAGCTGTTGGAACATCTCAGAGCTAATTAGGTTAATTAGCAACAGGTCAGTAACATAAAAGAGCATCCCACAGAGGCTGAGCCTTTCAGAACTGAGACTTAAGAGGACGGTGGGTTTACCACCCTTTTTTTTAAAACAAATAAATGCATAAGAATAATGTTTAGAACATAAAAATTACAACACGTTTGGGGGATTTTATCATCAAAGTACAAAATACCAAAAAATAAAGGCCCAGCATGTGAAAATGTGTAAAAGAAAGTTTTAGCTTGTAGAGCCACCTTTAGCAGCAATAACGTAAAGTAATAGTTTTCTGTGGGATTTTTATACAGAGCCCAGCAGGCTCTCACTTTGACTTTTTTTTTTTTTACTTTAGCTCCACTCTTCTTTACAACTTTGCTTCAGTTCATTGAGGTTTGTTAGCATTAGCTCTGTCAAGAGTGCACCACAGCAGTTCAATCAGGTTGAGGTCTACGCTTTGCCTGGAACATTGCAGAACTTTGTTTCTGTTCTTTTTCAGACATTCTGTTGTAAATTTGCTGCTTTGCTTGGGATCGTTGTCCTGTTGCATGGCCCAATTCCAGGCAAGCTTTAGCTGTTGGAAGACGGCATTTAGAATACTTTTCTACTGAATACTGAGTCATTGATTGCAAGGTAAAACAAGCCCAAGGTGTCACTTGACGGTTGTACTAACTAGAATTTGTCAAGGTTTCCCTGAGCATTGCACAGTCTGACCTTGGAGTGAAATTGGTCGGACATACACTCCTGGAAAGACTGTGACATTGTCTTAACAAACAGCTACATTTGACTAGCAGCACCTGGCTGTTTCTTACCATCTTATTTCCAGTGGAAACAGTAATGATGTTTAGTTTTTCACAGAAATTCTAGTGTAGTCGAGTCATGCATAGGATTGGACTATTCAGATTGTTATCAGTGCACAGCTTAAAAAGCCAACATCCATACTGTAATCGTATAGAAGATCATTAGTGCACATGCCATAAGTAACTTACACCTTTGAAGGCTCCGTATGCACGTTTTGGAGCAACGTGTGCTGCCATCCAGAGGGGGTGTTTCTCAGGAAAGGCCTTGTTTATTTCATAAAGAGTGCGAAACCAATTTCAATTGTATTACGGCAACATGGCTGCATAGAAAGATAGAGGCAACAAAGTATTAAACATGCTCCTGTCTCAACCTTTTAAAAAATATGTTGCTGAAATCAAATTCAATTAAAAAAATTATTTCAACAATTCATGTGTTGTTTTTGTGCTGTTTTCATTTGAATATAAGTTTGAATGATTTGCATTTCATTTTTAACTAAATGTAATACAACAATCCTACATTTTTTTGTTAAACCGCTGACACACAGCTTGTTATCCTTCACTGATGATTTGTAATGAAATCATCCCGTCACCCGTCTGAAGACACCACACAATTTCACAGCCTGTCACAAAGCTGTACAATTACATGATGGTGACAGTGATTTTTAGGCTTCTTGTGGTGGTATCTTTCAATTTAGCGTGCGCGCTCGTCGTGATGACAGTTCACTGTCTGATGACATTTGATTCTTGTGTGATGCTTAACCCACACTAGTAATTTAAAGGCTATTCTTGGGACAGTCGTACATTTAGTGTACAGAAGGCCCACAGATAACATACAGTAAATGCTTCCTGGATTTGCTTTGCACCTGCTGCGTATGGGGCCAGAAATCCCTCGCTCTCCAGTCGTCAGCTGCATGCATATATTTACATATAGAAAGGTGCATTGGGTGGCTTCATTTGTTTGCCATGTTGTACAACACCAAACTGCCTCTCCACAGTTGATGCCCACTTTCTCGCAGCTCTGAACGTGTAACCACGAATGTTTATGATCTAAGACAGAAACCCATTATCCCCAGCAACTATGGAAGAAATGGTGAATGTGAGAGGAATAGACAATAGGGGGAAAATGTGCAATCATGGAGAGTCTAACATCAGACTGGAGAAGGAAAGGAAAGGAAGGGGAGGAGAAGGGGGCAGATACTGTAAGAGGAATCATTAATAATCGAGTTTTGGAGGAGTTTTTTTACTCTGTGTGTCAGCTGTCGAAAAAAAAAAAGTCTATTGTTGAAATGTTCCTCAGAAATCTTTTATTATTCTGGTTCGCACTAGCGAGGAGCCTACCTTCAGTTCAGTGAGGCTTGTGACAGTGTTGTGTCCTTCCATCATTCCTGCCCCCCCATTCTCATGAAGGGATGCACGCACACCGCCTCCCACATTCAGTACACCTCATTGTGCACAAGTAGTCAAGCCCGAGCAGATATGCAAGGAGATATTTTTAAGGCTGTTATGTGAGCGCAACCTGTGAAAAGGAGAAAAGTGAGATGATTGCTGCCGTGTGGTTGTTCAGCTCCCAAGTTTTGAGAACTTTGCCTCGGGGCTTGAAAATTGCACCGCTCATCTCTCTCAGGCTGCATCGCCTTCTCTTCGGTGAGCCATTTTATCCATCTGTCGAGGCAGACGTGCAAATATGCAAAAGTATGCAAAAGTCTTTGTCATACAAAATAAGCCATCATTCGTTCTGAGAGAAAGAGCTAAGTTGTTAAGGCAGCTGTTTAAACAGTTTATACACTTGTCTTTTCTAGATGTTCTGAGTTCAACATCGGTTGTTACAGCTTTTCCTAAATAGTTTATATTCTAAGGCTTTTTTAAAAATTATTATTACAAATCATTAACCCAATGACCTTGCCTCCTAAATAAGCAGCAAAATTAATATTATTGTTATCATCAACATTTCATTTTACTCTAAACTCCTGCAGCTTAATTTCCCACACTGCTGCACTAAACTTCTTTTCATTTAAACACTTCTAAACCATCACTAATCACGGTTAATTGTGGTCGACTTGAAGAGGTGCTGTATGTTTTTCATTAGTGCTGCAGGACTAATCTTTATATTTGCAGGTCTTACCTTTAATAATCTGCACGTCCTCTACAGAGAAGAAAACTGTCAGTATGACGAGAGGGGCGCCTAGGTTGTTAGTGTAACATATTGGGGGTATTTATATATTAGATTAGTTTTGTAATATATTTTATTATTTATTATTGGAATTTAACTTGTTCGTTACTGCCTTCGCTCAACTGTGACCACATAAATTCCATTGGGATTAATAAAGTATTCTGATTTTGCTTCTGAGTTAGAATTTTATAACACATCCCTCCGGCTTGCCGTACATTTTCCCACTCAATAATGCTGTAAAGCCCTCACTGCAGCATGCGGTGGGAGGCCCCTTGAGCCTGTGAGTTTTAATCCTCCAGTCCACCCCCACACACCTCAGAAGGAAGGGAAAACTATGCAGAGACAACAGCTGTGACAAACACCAACACGATGGCTTTGCTGGGTTTAAAAAAATAAAAATAAATAACACAACCTTCTTTTCTCATACTCCTGCAGGGAAGGTAGCAGCAGCGAGGTGCCAATCCTGGTGGTGGGTAACAAGAGAGATCTGCAGCGTCAGCGCTTCATGCCTCGCAGGGCCGTGTCGGTTCTGGTGAAGAAGACATGGAAGTGCGGTTATGTGGAGTGCTCTGCCAAGTTTAACTGGCACGTAGTCCTGCTCTTCAAGGAGCTGCTGGGGATTGCTGTGGCACGGGGGATGCGCCAGAACCACACCTCCATTCGTTTGCAGGGGGCGCTACAGAGGAATCGCTGCACCATCATGTGACCCTCAGAGCTCCCTCCACCCCTGCCAACTCAGGAGTGGAGCGGCAGCAGAGAGAAGGACTTTCTATCAAAATGGCTGGGAAAAATAACCCCGTGGCCTCCTGCTTTACTGAGCTGATTTTTCTTAATGAGGTTTATTAGATTCGTGCGCTGTAAAAGACACTCAAATTACACACATGGTCATCCAACCACTTCCTAGTCAACTGTGTAGAAACAAGGAAGGAAATGGGAAAAAGAAAGCAGGTGACAAACAATACAAAAAGCATAGCACAGATATGTTTCTCACATCACAGGTCAACATTTCAGGCTGCGCTTCCCAATATGAAAGGTCTGTCGCTGGGCCTGACAGGGCAGAAGCTGTGTTTGTGAGAGTCAAAGCGGACAGGCAGCAATATCATCCAGTCTTCCTTTTGAATTTGCCACACTGTGTAAGGTCAAAAGCAGAAGCTCACATCTAACATCACTGGATTTATTGGGATTTGTGCATGAGACCGACAGGCAAAAAGATGGAAACGATAAAAAGTGAGAGCGCTCATTTTCTGCGCCAGTTATCTCAAAAAGTACATAGATAGATATGGTTAGGTGGTGTTTAATTTTAGATTCTGAGAAGTAGCCTGCATTTTTGTTCTCTGCCCCATCCTCTATTAGAATCTTGGCCGACAGTAAAAGCTGCTTGTTCACAGAAAGGCTGTTTTAAGGTTGTCTTGCAGCAGAAAATGCTGCAGTCCCTTATCATGTACTGTAGGACTTTAATCTGCTCCCTCCCCTCACTCAGTGTCTGTTTCTGATGAATACATTAAATCCAGGGAACGGGGAACCAGCAGGAGGCTCCGGAGCCTGAAACAAGAACCTGTGTGTGGAGTGCGTGTGTGTGTGTGTGATGCTGTGTGTGTGTGTGTGTGTGTGTGTGTGTGTGTGTGTGTTGTGTGTGTGTGTGTATGTGTTGTGCTCAGTGCCTGTGTGTGAGAGAGAGAGAGAGAGAGGGAGAGGCAGGTTTATAGTTGACATTCAGGCAAGCAAAGGACAGACGCGGCAAGATAACAGACAGATGTTGAAGCACTGGATTAGAAAGGAGCAATAAACACACACAGGGATGTCCAGACTGACTATATGTGCCACATTATTATATTAAAAATGCCTCGCCACACACAGTCAATGTAATCCACTTGCGCTCCAGCAGAAATACACACGCAGAACTCGGTGGCTTCCATATCAATATGTGAATACTATCTAATTGGTCATATCGTGAAATTAACAGCAACTCTTTTCATTTCATTAGGCCGAGGTATGTGAATATGCCAGCACTGAAAGCAAGCAGATCTATTGTATATACACGACTGATTCATAGACTAATTGAGTTGCATGCTTTTGTTGGTAGAGCCAACGGGTCAGGGTTTAATTGCACTGATGTGAAAATGTGATACTGTGTTTAATTTTTGTAATACATGGTTTTTTGACGCTGTAATGAGCAACTGAGTGGAGTGAATGTGGTCGTTTTTCACCGGCATGTGAGAGCACAAGCTCACGATACTCTAACAAGGTGTATTGTTGAACCCTTCAGTCGGGCCAAATGGCTGTGTTAGATTTTTTGTTTGTTTGTTTGTTTGTTTGTTTGTTTTTCTAGTTGGAAAAAAAAGAGAAATATGTAGCAGAGATAAACTAGAAAGCAACTGCGTGTAGCATGAGTTCTCATCATTTCGTTTGTGTGCATTTTCAAATAAAAAGGGCTACTGTTTTTTATCACATACATCACTTGTGTTGTGTTATTTTTACAGTGTCAGTACTGTAAGTAATTTTGTTTGGCTTTTGGTTGCTTTTTGTTTTGTTTGTTCTTTCTGACACATGATTATTAAAAGCATTTGAGAACAACAACCTTGCTCTGGTCCCTTTTTTTTTCTCCATGTGTCTTTCATGGCTTCACCACATTAGGATCATTTCTACAACATTGCCATCTTGTGGTAAAGCGATGTTATCAGGAACCACATCAGAAGCATCAAACACACTTCCAGTTACTGGAGTTTTGCTCGAACATGTGTCTGAC